GGTAAAAAATGCACCTGTAAATCAATTTAAGGGGGCAAATATTGTCCTTTAATAGAAAAGGTGTGACTGCGGTCTAAGAGTGGAAGAGAGGGGGTACACAGAAGAATGTTAAATGCCCCAGGGGGTACGCTGCTGTAAAAAGTTTGAGAACCACTGCTTCACGGTACTTAGACCGCGATGGAAACGCAGACAGCAACAGGTCTGGGGGGAAAAAAGTTTCTGGGACAAATTGTTCCAGGTAATTACAGTGGAAAAGCGGCTAAAAGGAAGGTTAGGAAAAGGGGCACTGATATAGACCAATAAAATGTAGTTTCTTAATATATCTCCTCCTCTCAGATTCACATAGGGTGGTGAAATAATCCTTTGACATGGTTAAAAATAATGAATGGTCTTGCCGCCGATTATGTTTCCCTCCAGTGGGTGCAGTTCTCGGAGTAATATGACACGTTGCGCTCTACTTTTGTGTCCTAAACGCTCGTTTTTTTGGGTCGACAGCTTATAAAAACTTAGTTCTGGGTTTTTTTAGCTTGTTTACACCTTGTCACATAGCAGCTTTTAGGCATTGCTCTGTTTTTTGTTATAAGTCAGAAATGACAAGGAGGCAGCTTCCCGCAATAGAAAGTCAATGGAGAGCGTTGGATTGTCCCCCCCCCCCAGTGATCATGGTTTTCAGATTATGACGCGTGTCGCTCTGTCTCTATAGTCGCAGGTAGCCAGGTTTCAGTCGGTCAAAGGTGCAGTCTATTTCAGTTGCCTCAAAATAGCAAAGCGCCAACAATGCGCCTGAACACACCTCTTTTCAGACCAGCACGCCCATGGGCACAAATGCATTTGCTATTTAAACAACGTGGCGCAGGACGTGAAAATGATAACTGCGTCGGGCTGAAACTAGCAAAAAACACTTGTCAACACATCAACAAGCTGAAAAAATAAAACCAAAGTTTTTTTTGAGGTAATGTGTCATGTAATCTTGTTAAAATGGATTTTATACAATTGGTATCGAAAAAAGTATTGTTCAGGAACCGGTAGCGAAGTCAAGGTATCGTTATCAATATTTAAATGTTTTGAACGATACTACTTGTTGCTGTTCCAAAAAGTGTGCAAAAACACCATAAAGTATAAATATGACCATATGTCATATATTACTTTATTTTAAGTATTCTCAAACCAAACAATAACTTTGTGTGACACATACTGAAAGTTAAGCCATTATGCACTGAAAGTCATGCTTTTGAGTATTTTCTGAAGCATGACAGCTCCAGTCCCCATTCATTGCAATAAGATGGAAAAGAGTAGCCAGCACATTTTGTCCAAATATCTTGTTTTGTATTCCAAAGAAGAAAGAAAGTCATACAGGTTTGGATCAATATGAGGTACAGTAAACATGAAACCAGAATTGTAATTTTTTTGGTGAACTCTCTTTAATTAACCATGGTTCTGCTCATCCCCCTTTCAGAGGGTATAAACCCTATATGATTATTCCTCTATGGTCGTGCCTCTGGAGGACAGCTATAAATACAGGTGCATCTCAATAAATTAGAATGTCGTGGAAAAGTTCATTTATTTCAGTAATTCAACTCAAATTGTGAAACTCGTGTATTAAATAAATTCAATGCACACAGACTGAAGTAGTTTAAGTCTTTGGTTCTTTTAATTGTGATGATTTTGGCTCACATTTAACAAAAACCCACCAATTCACTATCTCAACAAATTACAATATGGTGACATGCCAATCAGCTAATCAACTCAAAACACCTGCAAAGGTTTCCTGAGCCTTCAAAATGGTCTCTCAGTTTGGTTCACGAGGCTACACAATCATGGGGAAGACTGCTGATCTGACAGTTGTCCAGAAGACAATCATTGACACCCTTCACAAGGAGGGTAAGCCACAAACATTCATTGCCAAAGAAGCTGGAATTGAGGCAGTAATTAAAGCAAAAGGAGCCCCTACCAAGTATTGAGTACATGTACAGTAAATGAACATACTTTCCAGAAGGCCAACAATTCACTAAAAATGTTTTTTTTATTGGTCTTATGAAGTATTCTAATTTGTTGAGATAGTGAATTGGTGAGTTTTTGTTAAATGTGAGCCAAAATCATCACAATTAAAAGAACCAAAGACTTAAACTACTTCAGTCTGTGTGCATTGAATTTATTTAATACACGAGTTTCATAATTTGAGTTGAATTACTGAAATAAATGAACTTTTCCACGACATTCTAATTTACTGAGATGCACCTGTATGTATACCAGCAGGCAACAGTGCAGATTAAAAGCAGACAATGAGCAACAGGAAGCGATTTCGAGGAAAGGTCAGGCTAAGATTACATGGGTGGAGGTAGGCAGGGTGGCTGTTGGTGAAAGCTCCCCTAGTTTTGTGGCCCCTCTGTACACGCCAGTTACAGGTGATTCCTTTGTGTATAAACACACACAGAGCCTATATGCTAGAATAAGTACTAACAGAACTAACATGTCAGAGAATGAAAACTGTCCATTTCATTTTGTTAATTTATTGCTAAGTCCATTGCGTCTAATACATTGCTCTCCCAAGAAATTAACCTCTGAACAGAAGCCATGACTGAAACTTCTACAAGACAGGAGGGTGTGTGCTTAAAAGGATATTGCATTTCCTCTGAGTTACAAACTCATTCTGAGAACATGCACTCTTCTCCTTCCTTCAAGCATTACCCATTTTACTCAACTTTTCATCTTTGGTCTGAATTGTACACCACTGGAAATGTATCCTTGTGAACTTGTTTTGTTGAGGCTGAAAGAAACGTTTTAATAAGCAACCAACCGGATATATCAAAGTTATTCACTAGGCATTTTAAGAAATATATCGTGATATAAATTTTGGCCATATCGTCCAGCCCTAATTTGACAATGTAACTGCATTATATATAAATATATAAGATTCAACCACACACTCAACCAAATGTTCAATATCTATTGGTAACACCTGGGTTAGGAACTATTCTCAAGACACTCAAACTGACATGAACTAAATCTTGAGCATTTAAGTATTAAATTGTTATTTTAGGCTTATCCCTTAAGCACAGCGATGTTCCCTTAGTGTACATCTTAAATTCTTTGCCAAAAGCTGTTCCTCATTCCCCTTGAACTGTCACACAGAAATCTAAAAATACAGTACCTCTCCTTCCCAACAAGCCTGACAGGTGAAACACTTTAAAGGTGCACTCACTAAGTTTTGGTTTAGGTTTAGCTTGTTCTTCCTTGTTGCAATGGGCAACTGTCTGTTTATACGCTATTTGTCCACTTATTTTGTTTGACGGATCGTAAACACGTTGATCCATGCCATCAGTTCTTTGCTGTTGGTACTTTAATGTTTATTCTATTAAAGCACTTTTTAAAGTAAACCAACACTCTCATGGCAATTTGTAACTATTTTATGTTTAATTCATATAAACTAATTTGTACATTTTTACATAATCAGAGGTGGGGTTGGGGTGGATTATCATGCTTATGTTTTGTTTTTTTCTTCTAGAAACCTACAAGTTTCCGTATGAACCACATCGCTCAAATAGCGATCTTGTAAAATAGTTATTTTGTTCAAGACACGAGGTTGAGTAAACATTAATATTGTCGTTATTTGTGGTAGTCAACTGCATGCCCCAGTTGGTCATGTGACATTAACATGGCGGCACCCATGAGGGGGAGACCAGCTGTGTGGAATAACAGCTTTTTTTGTCTAGAAAATTCTGAGACTTCCTCTCATGAGAGTGTACATCATTTTAATGATGCTTCCCAAAAGTGTCTTTATTTGTAAAACTTTTCAATTTACATAAAAATTACTGCGTTCACTTTTAGAGTCAAATTCAAAGTCGCGTGCTCATTTCGAACATTCACTTGCAGAAGTTGTTAGAATGGTACTTAAACGCTTACCAAACCACACCGAAAGCTCCGTATCCGATCGGTCTGTCCGGCTCTATATCCAGCTGTTGTTGTAAGTGATGCGAGTGTTGGTGGTGGTGGTGATGATGCGCCTTCACAGCGGCCGCGGCGGCGGCTTGAACTTGCGCTGGGGCTGCAGCGGCCGCCGGCCCCGGAGCTTGTCCAGGAGCGGGCGAGGGGAAGTACGGCTGCTGCTGGCTCGGGTTCAGCATCACCGCCGCCGCGGCAACCGAGCCGGGGTGCTGGAGGTGATGCTGGCCCGGGTGGTGATGGTGGTGGAGGTGGGCGGGTGGCGGGAGATGGGGCAGCTGGTGGTGATGGTGCGGGTGATGCGCTGCCACTGCCGCGGTGCCGCCGTTGTACGCAGCCATCATTTTCGCGGCATTGGAAGCCGTCGTTCCGCACAGAGCCATTCACTCACTCAACAGCCCGAAATGAGAGGGGGAAAAACAAAACAAAGAGGCGAACGAGATGGAGAGGGAGGCTGCCAAGATGTCAAACTCTCATTTGGCTGTCATCGAGCCAAACGACGGGTCAAATCAAAGCATAAATGTCCGCCATACATAAAGATGAGTGTGAAAAGGTGTCATACTAACAACTCTCCAGCTTTGATCTGACCTACTTCGGAGGATCTTTCGCGTTATACGTTCCAGACTAGCAAAATGACAATCTCGGACATCCAAGAAACCTCTCGCGGAGGGTAAACAAACGAAAGGTAAAAAAGGAGAGAGGGATCGAATCAAAATAATGCGCTCCCCCCATAATAGGCTAAATCAATTCCGCACGGCCTTAAATCTCCCTCATGTTGGAGGCATGAGGAGCACCTTGCTTCGCTCGAAACTCGGGCTTGTATGGAAATGGAAATTAGGTGAATAGTACAACTTACGGCGGAAATGCAACATTCATCTTTTAGATTTCTTCATATTTGCCATTTTGGGCTCATCCAGCCCTGTTTCCACCGCCAGGGCTGCATGCAGTTTGCAGAAGTTACGTGGATCTCAATCAGGCCACCGTTGCTGATTTGGTACTTGCTCGCCAGCTTGTTTACATTTACATTAAAACGCGCAATTCTCCCGTGCGAAAAGACTGCTACACTGTATCGATCCGGGAAGCTTGTTTTGCAGTATGGCGCTCTGTTGCCGTTTTCATTTGCGCCCCAGCCCGAAGCTGTAGATGGATAGCCCCAGACCCTCTCCAAATGTCAAAATCCCCTCGAAACACCCATCACGCTGCTCAACAGAGCAATCCGTTTTCCTGGAACAAGGAAAACATTCTTCCGAAGCCTTCAACTTATTTTCCCCATCGATAACGATGTGCTCGTTCACCGGCGTGTCGCTTTCTCGCGCTCAAAATCGTGGGCATGTATATCCAGTGAAGAAGAATTCAAAATAAAAACATCCAGTGTTCCTTGCAGTCATAAAACAGGCGGCCAGCGTCCTCACCTCCTCGCCGGATGCTGCTGCCAGGACCTGGGAAGACACGCGCAACCCTGCCGTCTTGGGTACCCGTCTATTGCTAGTCCGATTGACAGGTCTCTAAACCAATCGCGTTTCGCTTCTGAAGTAGCACAGCCAATCAGCGAGCGAGAGGAAGAGACGGAGCTCCAGCCATAATAAACAGGCCCTTGTTGCATGTGGAAGCTAGCGCCATTACGGCTACACGATACTGTAAAAGATAGCGAGAGTCTACGGAGGCTTTGAGCCGAAATGGAGAGCGAAGGGCTCCACTTACCCAGAGCTATTACGCGAGACATGCCATCCAATTAGCACCTGCCATTGAAGTGAGACCCTTGTCTGAAAGGAGAGCCATGATTCGCTGTCAAATCGTTTTTCAAATCAAAGGAAAATGCACAGTAACAAGGACGGTCAAATATTATACAATATATATTATAGAAATATATTTTCCAGTCTACAAAGTTTATAGTTTGCATAAAAGCTGCATAAAAATACGTTTTACTTTGAAAGATAAAGTAAAGTTTAATTTTTAACTCTATATGGGAATGTAATAATTTGTTCACAATGAGTCAGAAATTTCTTGTAAAATCTTTTTTTTTTTTTTTTGTAGGATACTTTATCTTGGAATCAATTTCTTACCATTAAGTTGGATCTGTAGTAATGTTTAGTGACACTAAAGTTTTGTTGTTCATTTTATTTTATTTTTTGATAAATGTCAAGTCAAGTGAAGATGTCATGTGTCTACAATGTTTTAACTTATTCAATTAAATTTAAGTTGGCCAAATATATATAACTATTATGTTTTTGTATATTACCTTTTAAATATTTGCTGTGTCATGTTAAGTTACTGTACCATTATTACCAGTATTCCCAGTGTTCCCATTATGACAACATGCTCCACTATTCAACACGTCTTAACTTTTTATTTATTAATTTATTATTTTTTATTTTGCAGCATCAATGTTTAGGTATGTGCCTACACATCAACTGACATTCTGAGAATTATTCACTGGAGTAAAAAAGTGTGACAACTAGCCCCGGGCATCCTATAATTAAAATATTACGTAACATAATTGAATAATTCAGCTTATGTGTACATTTTACATGCATATTTTCGTTCTTTTTTTTTTAGAGTGGACTTGTTTACGAGGCTGGAAAACTTAATCAAGTTGACTTGAGCAGTTTAAAGTGTACAGCTGTGCATTCCACACCTTTGACCTCAACTCTTATGTGTTTGCTTAAGGATAAATGCTTCATCTCAGCTGACTCTCACAGCACTGGCAGTGTACTGAAGCATGCAGGTGACGTGTTTATTCGTGATATAACTTAAAGCACTGTTTAAGCATTAACTCCACTGAGTCCACTGAGACTCAGAATCTTTGATTAATTTTCAGCAATTATTTGATATCATGGTGGCGGAATGAGGTTATAGACCTCGTTTAATTTGCTTTTAATGACCTTTTCACATTTTTTGGCAAACCAGTGTTGCAGTATGATGCTGCTATGTTGTTGTAGTTTCCTGGAATTTAACCACCAGGGCATTAAAGGCTAAAACTAAAGCAAAGTGATCAGCTGCAAAATCTTCCAGAAAGAGTGACTGCTGTATCTGATTAACCACTGGAAATATTTTGAACAGAATAATTAATCTCATGTCCGGGTCCAAAATAAACTGGTGCCCTCCTTTAAGTGCAGGCCTACCGGAGAGAGGGTGCTAACTGTCCCTCAAAAAAATAAAAAAGACATTCCCTGGATTAAATCAGGCCCCACTAATTTGGACATTGTTCGGTCTTAAAATGCAGCAGCTGCAGTGTCTTAATCAATAATGACAAGGCATCATCTACAATGAATTTCAGTTCAAATTACCGTGCTGAATTTGCACTTTCACACAAATGTAATCTATGTAAATAAATCACTGCGTTCCCATTTGGTATAGACCTTAGTCAGGTTAGACATCATATTGAATATAACATGTATGAAAATGAGTCTAATGAATCTGGATTAAAATCGGTTAAAACTGTTTTATGGAGTTTTATTTTTTATTTTTTTTTTCAGAAAGACATTTTGTCAGCTGAACATTCAGTACAATCCACTGAACGCACTGTACTTCTATATCCCTCACAGCCTCATTTTCATTCATGTCAAAAATTAAATATGGTGCCAGTGCCACCCTGACTACGTTCTATTGGTCTGGTTAGAATCCTAAAAATGTTGCTTTTCATGAAAGCAGTTTTTCACGAGTTGTTCAAAATTAACGAAGCTGTTGGATATTATTAATGCACATTTTAAATTACAGTCAATTATGATGATGCCTGTATTCTGCATCTTGTCTCATCTTTCTCAGAGCTTCATCTTTTCATCAGGCAGCATATGGCACACGGAAACTTCCAGAGATTTTGTTCATTCTTAGTCACATTATGCATGAATTAATTGATCACTGTCTGTTCAACAATTGATCCATGACCCTGAAAGCTTCACAGTAAGACATATTTGTGTTAATTAATTAACACTGCAAGATAGAAACGAAACAATTAAACTATTATTATATATATTTTATTAGTATCTCTTCAAAATGAGACATTATTGCCAATGCAAACACATAGAGCAGCAGGACAATCAAGGACATTTTGTAATACTGCAACAATTATATGCTGGCAGAAACTAAAGGTGGTTTTCCATAACGCAGGTATAGTCCACACATTGTATTCTGTTGAATACAAAAGAAGAGATTTTGAAGAATGGTGGTAACCACACAGTTTCAATTCCCATTGTTTTCCATTGTATTTTTTATCCATATGGGGGCCAATGGGAACGGAAACTGTTTAGTTTCCAACACTTTTCAAAATCACTTCTTTTGTGCTCCACAGAATAAAGTAAGTCATACAGGTTTGAAACAACATGACGGTAGGTAAATGTTGACAAAATTGTCATTTTTGTTTGAACTATCCCTTTAACCACTAGATTGAATTTTAGGGTTGAGAGTTGAGAGCACAGCATCTGAGCGCTGATTAACTGAATTAAAGAAGATATAGAGGAACCCTGCTGATTATTACTGTATAGATGAAGATACAGCAGTTTCTTAGGCTGCATGCTGTTATACTAACATCATGTCAAATCAGTTATTGGGTACATTGATGAATGGGACATGTCCAGCGTTGCCTTATTAAGCTTCTACAGCAAAGACTATGATCTTGGAGACCAAGACAAACACATGGAGGTGAACGCATCTCAGCCTGAAATAACTTTTAGGCTGGCAGGTTATTAATGACGTAATGAAGAAGGGAGATAAGAAACGTTTTGTCACAGCAGCAGGAGTGTTATTACCCAGTGTCCATATAGGATGCTGTGAAATTCAAGAATAGCTTAAATTTGAATCTCACTGTTGGGGTCTCAACCAAATATGAATTCTGAGTCATTGCAATATGTGTGATTATTTAGGGAGTGATTTCAAAGATTAAACAATATGTGCTTTTATTGTATTGGAAATGTTTTGAGACCACAGATATGTATTTTCATCTAAAAAAATGATGAAAATCATTTTGAATTTGCTTTTAAATGGTACACTTCTTAACAGACGTATGTGTGCATAGTGGGTTTTATGATTTTAATTTATTTAAAAACATTTTTTTACTGTGGTTTAAATAAACCTCATTATTTATGCACCATGTTTAAATGCATTAAACTGACATGAAGTGGTATGCAAAACGCAAGGTTTTGTGTCCATGGGTTTTGATGAGATTATCAGGCAACACAACTTATTTTGGACATTTTGTATGCATAAGATATCTGTTTGATGTTTGTTCATGCCAAGAAAATGTCTTCCTCAAGTACACATGAGTGTGTCTTTGCAAGTACAATGCAGAACACAGCATCGTCCAGAAAAGATAAAGCTATTTTTATTGTATTCTATTTTTTTTATATTTTTGTGAATTCTGTCAAAACAAAAAAAAAAAAGATTTTAAAGATGCATGCTCTGTATTTATATACTATTAATAAAAGGATTGTAGAGATCTAAATTCAGCTGTTTTGCTGGCCAATACAACCGAGGTCTTAGATTTTATACTGACACCTACTGGCATGGATGCAAAAGTTTTCCGATGCCATTGTAGAAATACTTCAATAGGCATATTTTTGGCTGCACGAATCCTCTATTCTGCTTAATACATAATTTCAAACATATTTCTCAAAATGTTCACATTATTTTTTTAAGGGCTAAAACGTTTTGTTACTAAGTGCAAGGTTTGACATATTGACTAAAATAAACAGTATCACAAGAGAGCAAAATGTGGCTGAGGATATCATCAATACAGGCCATAATTTTCTACACCACGCATGATCAATAATTCAATTACATGCATTTTTCATTGTTCATTCAGTTTGACCAGCTACTCAGACACATAGCGAGATTCAGTTCACATCCTGTTGAAAGAATGAAGGATACAAAGGAAAAACATGATAGCACTCTTGACCATATCCCACAATGTCTAAGCTTTTACCCACATAAATCTAATAGTGGAAAATGATATAGCGTTATTCTCTTGCTACAAGAATTTACTGAATGGTCGAGGATAACCTAGACGTGGGGATCTGCACAGAGATTCGGTGTCCTAATTAGGCCCTGGCATTGACAGTGGGTACTGCTTGGGGCACTGTGGAAGGGAAGCTGCAGGAATGTAGTGCTGAATAACTCCAGGCAGACCATAGTATGTAAGTGGAGCAGAAAACAGATGGTCCTGAGCATGCAGAAGAAAACACATCAAAACACAGAGCAATCCATTAATAATCCAAAACGGTGGTGCATCATGATTAGGGATGGAAATCGCAAAGATTACAAATCTGGATCCTTAATGGTTCCATTAATCAATATTTTACTACTTGTATGGAATAAATATTTGGAAAAAGAATTGAAGTTTCATAATTTCAATAATAAATACATTTAAATTAAATTCTTGCAATACATGTTTACACAAATGTTTTAATGACTTTTCAGTCTCTATAGAGGTGTTGGTCTGAAAATGTGTGCTACCTGCTCAGGATGTGCAGTTAAAACGGGCATATTTTAAATTAAAACATTTGTAGAACATGTGAGGCATGAGAGAAGCTGAAGCTGTTGGATGCAATATCACAGTGTGAAATGTGTTAAAAATTAAGGTAGCACATCTTGTCAGGAAAATAATGTGCTATCAGCATAACGTTCATATGGTGCGATACATGCTCTAACCTAACCTTAAAACCATGTGGACAGCGTTGGAAACATATGCTGTTATGCAATGCAATAATTGGCATTATACTATTCAACAATGCTGAACAAAGAAAAATGTAGTAACATATTTCATAATACTGGCACATCTCATAATGTGCATCTTTAACTGCATATTGTCTCATAACAGCCACTAATTTATAGTATATGAGCTACTTAACCATATTTTGGAGACAAATTTGTACAAAGAAGTGAGCTAAATCTGATGAAACGGTCACATAAAACTATATAAAACTGTATAAAAACATATAACCATATAAAAACAATATGGAATATGGAATGTCCACTTAAAGTTAATATCTGTTAATGTGGTTGCTTCACTAAAAAGAACTGACTAATGATAATCATTCAGTCACGAATCATACTACATTAGTTGCGCTTTATGTTTTTGATCCATTAAAAAGAATTGTCTCGAGTAATTTGCTCTGGAGTGGGACTACACTGATCGCACTGTATGTTTGTGTTTCACTAAAAGGAACCATCTCACAAAAGTCATTCATTCGGGAACCAGATTAGGTTCTCGTTTCCCAAACCTGTGATGTGCACCAGCAATGTGCTCGATCAGCTGATAACCTCAATTGTTAAGATATTGGGAAGAAGTGTTAATAAATTGCAAGGTGTCAATAATATTGGCTGTAATCTGGTCTAAAATGCACAGCACTGTCAAAAGAAAGTGAACACCCAAACACCACTCCCAAATGAACTTGTTGAACATTTAATTTCAAAACCATTGACATTAATAAGAAGCTGCTCATCCATTTGCTGCTATAACTGCTTACACTCTCATGGGAAGGATTTCCACTAGAAGTTGGAGCATGGCTGCAGGGGTTTGATCCCATCCCGTTGAGGTCGGGTTGGTTTTATGGCATGTACATATTCTTTTGGCCACCTATTGTACATGTAAGTCATTCAAACATAACATGTAGTAAAGATTACAGAACGGAACATGAGAACATAATTCGTAAATGGCTCGAAAACGGAGAAAAGACCACATGAGGAATGTCATGGAAGTATGTAATTGATTTTTTAAATTATGTGCATGTAAATTATTCATGATTGGATTTAATGAATCCTATACTCTAGGTACAAGTTTTAATTGCAAAATCAGGTTGTATAATGAAAAAATGTCGCCGTTCATGCAGCTACAGTCACAGAAGCCTTCAGGCCTTCTTTCAGAGCGAAACTCTGTGTGCTCACCACACATCACAGTGGTACTGTGTACATAGTGACTAGGCTGCGACTGTTAAACTGGTGAGAGACTGAAGCATTGTTGATCAGCCTGTGGGAGAGAGAAAGGGAGCAGTATCTGCTTGGCTTTAGTCACAGAAGCATAGAATAGAGCCTACAAAGACATTCAGTGACACTGACCTCATACTCTGCGAGTCAGCTCTATTTAAAGCACAAGGATTCTTTCTGCTGTCTATTTGTACTCTCCTGTCTTGAGCATATTTCTGACGGGGGATGGGGGGAGGAGACTGAAATCACTGCCATTTGCAACAATTCTATCACTTTGGAGGAAGCACGCTTTGCTTTTATTAGACGTGTCAATCACGACCCAAATATGGAGCGCTGTTTTGATGCAAGTAGGTTTGTGAGATGTTAAATGGTATTATTAGAAACTAAGAAAGACTGAAACATTATGTTCCACTTTTATCATCAGCAGATCTTCACAGGAGATGCTAGGACAAGTCAGGACCCCTGGGGGCTTCATACATTCATCATTAATGTATTTCATAGTGGATTTTCCCTATAGGCATGAGAATCAGGATCATTCTGGCCTTTTTTTCTCCACAGGCATCTTTGTTCTGCATAATAAATGCTTATGTATACGTATAGTAAAGACACTATTTAACTGTACATTTTTATGCCGACAGTTTCAATTTTAATGGATTGGAATGGATGTGTATATATATATATATATATATATATATATATATATAATTGTAAAAAAGCATATACGTACTTCATTCCTTAATGTTAATTCTACCACACAATTTTGACCTGATTCTCTGTATTCATTTGTTATGATACAAAAACTCTCAAATTGACCTTCAAATGTGATTTAAAGCAACAAAATTCACTTCATTTCATCTTGTCAGTTTTACACTGATGTTCTTATCAACTTCTAATTTCAACAATATTTAAGTCTGAGAATTATTACAGTGGTAAAAAATATGAAAGAAATATTTAACTAATGATTTAATATAAAGTCATCATATTATATAATTCAATTAGATTGTTTATTATATTACTTTCTTTTTAACAAAGTGCATCCAATATTTTCAAGATAGATTATATTAGGGCTATGACTGAATTGGACAATTATTTTCATTTGAATATATGGCTGAATGTTTTTGCATTCGCTTAGGGGGATTTCTGTACATAACCATATTTGTCTTCCATTAATCATCTTGTAGTACACTTCTCACTCTTGATGGTGGCTTATGTACTTACCTTGGACATTATGATGGGCAACAGCGACATCTAGTGTTACACTTCTAAATTCCTACTGAAGTGGGGCAAAAACAACACACCACACTTGAAGCAGTAGTTAAAATTGTAAGGTTTCTGAATTCCGAGTGCATAAAACAATAACTAAATGCGTGGACAAATAAAAAAAGTCAACAATCAAATAACCACCAATGTTTTCGTTAAAGACAATCTACCACACTCATCCATATGTCCTTATCACCTCACCCTCCAGCATTCTCTTCCCTTGAATCACCTTTATACCAGTGCCAGTTCAGAGACGCCAGAGGGATGCTGGGACTTTCCCTGGGAAAACACAGTTTCCGTCTGTCCTGTTTATAATACTATAATAACCGTAAATCAGGGTTATAAAGATGAAGACAGAAATAGAAAGTGGGGTGTGTGGCCGTAAATCCAAGGAGCAGGTATGCTTATCGCTTGAGCTGTTGTTTAAATCAAGTTGTAAAACTGGAAAAAAGGTATTTTATCACAATTAAAATTGTGTTAACATACGTTTTGTTGCTGTATTTTTGAAACAGTGAGTATTTTAATGTTTAACGATTGGCCACATTCACTTACATTGTAAGTAACTCACTGTAATCTGCATTTTTGCGTTTCTTAAATGGGGTGAGGGGCGAAATACATTTTTTTGGGAAATCAACATTAGGCCACAGGCTGCCTGATTAAGCTTAACCTGTATTGAACCTAGTATATTCCTTTTTTCAACAGTAGTCAAATTCAAAAGAAGACTAAGAGAACAAGATCTTTTTCAACAAGTTTATTAGCAGTGACAAAGATTCTTGAGACAAAATGTAACCCCCTCTTCATGTCCACTGTAGGAAATTCAGAGAGAGCAACATAAAATGCAATATTAATTCAAACTTTTAACAGTCAAAACATGGCACAACTGAAGATTGTTGGGTGGAAAATGGGGGTGTAGGGACAGGGGGAAAGGAAAAGCAAGAGTTTTTCATGTTCTGATGTGATTCCGTTTAATATATCGCTTAACACAGGCACCCTGAAATTGAAAAGTTCGCAATATTAACTTTGCATATAATTGAGCGTATGAATGAAGACAAATACACATGCTTGCACACGAACACACATATGCACCCACACGCAAAAAACCAGTTGAGTTGTCAGGACAGCTAGGACAAGAATCATTCATACATCAAGAAAACCGTGAAATTTGAATATGCATGTTCTTGGTACAGATTTCGCAAACACACCATTTAAGTATCTCTGTACCTCTCTCCATCCGTGCGTGCTCTCATTGCTCTAAACACTAAAGGGGAGCGATTTATGGAAATAATTTATATTGCAATTATATCATTTGTGGGTTAGTAAGTGCTTATTTAAAATGAGGAAATGAAGCTAATGTGCAACCCCCCCAAAATATAAACTCCGTTTTGTTTGCATTCTGTGCATAGAACCTCTATATGTGCATTTGACCCCTTGAGTTGAGGTTTTTGAAACAAAGGCCAGGTTCAGTTCATTCTGCTGACAGTGTTTACAAAGACGTATCTGAGCTAAGGGGACAGTTAACCTAAAAATCTGAATTCTGCCATTATTTACTCACCCTCATGTTATTCCAAGCCGGTTTAAACGGTTTTAGTCTATACAGTGATAGTCAGTGGGGTCCGAAACATTCACTATATGTTGGGACAGAAAGAGGTTTGGAATGGCATGATGTTGAGTAAATGATGACAGGATTTTAATTTTTATGTGAACGATCCCTTTAAGGGGAAATAGGGATACCGGGACAATGTGTGTTCACAGAGGTATTTCATAATTAACTCAATGCAAAAACAGAAGGCTATAAATGATGCCTACATCATAACTCCTTAAACAAATACCTTGGATATCCAAAAAAAAAAAGCAGCTCTATGCGAGTTGTTTAAAGACAAAATTTAGATAACTACAATAAAACTCAAGTGAAGCAATGAAGAGATGTGCATCTAAAAAGCCAAGGAATGAGCTAATTATCAATCGCAGGATTTCTCTATCTTGCACAAAGCTTTTAAGTGGAACCAGAATTAGAAAAGATGAAGCAGAATTTAACAACCTTGCATCTGTTTCATCGACAGCTTTTGCAGTGTCTTTTGAACCAAGACATCGAACAGACTTCGGGTACTTCAAGAACAGAAACAGATTAAGAAAAAATCATGAAACATCCCACGTTTTCTGAAGACTGCCTACATTGGAAACCATTACATGCTGCATTTAAAAAATGAAAGAAAAAAAAAACTCTTGCAAAGGAAAGGCATACAGATATAGTGTGGTTAAGATCTTCCATGTGTACTTACATTTTTTCACCTGGCAGTGTTTCATTGTCATGTACAGAAAACATTGATGCCAAATGATACCTATAAAGATGCAAGCATTGGCTTTCAGTCAAAAATGAAATCCCTCAAAAAGTTACAATTAAAAAAAAACAGCTGGTACAAACATGGGACATTCTTTTCATATTTGGCAATAACACTGTTGGTGCCTTTTTTTGTTTTGTTAGATAGAAGAACACTGCCCTAATTCTACCTGAGTGTCTTTTTTCTTTTCTTTCTTTTTTCACCTTTTTTTTTAAAATTTTGTTTTGTATATATATATTTTCTTTTGAGATTGTGGACCGACAGTCCTTAGGCAGAGGTTAAAGTTAGTAGCCTATGATTAATTACTAGAATTTCAAATATGTACTGATATGTCAATGTTTAAGGAAACACAATTCAAGAACATAATACATAAAGTGCTACTGATTCTTATGTATAAATCAATTAATCTGTGAAATGATAAAACAGGATAGCCTTTAAGTTTAGAATGCACTTTCTGACATTAGAAAGAGAAACATTTACACAACGGCAGAATTCCTGTCAATGGCGGTTCTATCAATGAAGCTCATATGTACTTTATCAAGCGCTTAACCAATAAGCATGGAAAACCAGGTACAAATGAAACATTCAAGAAATAAAAAGCATAAAAGTGTGATTGTGGTGCTCAATAAAAAAAAAAAAACTAGGGGCTTCTAGTCTCTTGAGTGAAATAAAAAGTCCGGATCGTTCGTCAGCGACTGCTCTCTAGGTTCCCTCTAAATTGTGATCTAGTCCCAAATGAAGCAAAAGTAGTCGCTACTGCCTTTCCGGGCAAAAACAAAACCCTATTTCGAAGAGCAGCTCTACAGAACAAAACCAAAATGAACTAAAACCTCCGTAATGTACCTATTAGCATTGAAGCTAAATCAACTGTGTGGTGTGGCACATCTTATTGATTAGTTCTGGGTTCTAACGGCTACTTAAAAATTAAAAACATAAAACACTCAAGATAAAGGAACATAGCATGATCTCTGCCCTCCGTTTACACACGCACACAACGAGCAAGAGACTTGAATGGCTGTCAGGTGACAGAAGCGTGAAGAGACGACAATAAGACTATTGAACAATAGCACTTTGAACTCTTCCAAAAGAGGACACACAGAGCAGCATACTGCACATGCACACTACAGGGGGTGCGGTTTCCCAATCCGAGTGTACCTCATAACCTGCCCTTGGAGTTTTTAAGTATTTCAATGAAAAAGAAAAGGAATAAAAAAAAAAATTACAAAAAAAACAAACGAAGTGGAGACGCGTCACTAACAGGACTGACCTACTCTTGTCCAGAAATTAAATTAAGACAATTATTTAATCCCAAAGGCCTGAACTAATGCCTCCCACACATAAATGGAGTTCGATTCCCCCGAATCTCCAAAAAAAAGAGCTATGTAGTTCCTCTGGCCACAGTATCTTAATTCACTGTAGAGCGCCACTCTTCGGTTCTGTGCCCAAATGAATTCAATGTGACCACTTCGAGTCTACTTGATTATTTGAATTCAAGAAGGGACACATGGTGATCACTTTAGGTCCGTGAGTACTTAAAGGAGAAGCTTCCGCCCAACCAAATGTCATGACAGGGTTATCATGAGTGTTTGACGTGTGAGTTATGTCCCCAAAGTCATTGAAATTGTCTTTAGCAACATATCCGCTAGAGGCATTAGAGTTGAGTTCCACAGCTCCCGTTCTTCCATTCTAATATTCAAAAACCAGCTAACCCATTTTCTCAAGCGCACTCTGTTCCTCTGTGCTCAGACTTGACTGCTGACGGGTAACAAGGTCCTTTCTAAACCATCTTAAGATTGGATTAGTTCTGATTCAGGATGTTTAGAGGCAGCAGACATGTTCCTCAAGCACATCTTTTTGCAGTTCATCTGAGATATAGTGTCCAGACACAGCTTCACTGAGCAGGTCCGTCCCATGACTCACTGTAGAGGACTACTCGATTTGGATCTACGAGAAATTGAGAAAGATGAACGTAGGTGAGAATTGGGAACTCAAAATGATATGGGAAGAGTTGAGGGATGTGAGCAGATGGGGCATTGGGTTGCAATATCTAAATGATGAATCATTTAAGGGTTTAATCACATGCTGAGGCAAGAGTTGTCTATAAATGTCAAACACAAGAGGTAAATGGTAGCTTACCTTGTTTTTGCAAATTCAAAATATATTCCATTTCTGCAAAGAAGAGAAAGATGAAAGTTCAGTGTAAAAATACCCAAGTACAGCTACAATTTAATGAAGATCTTTCATTTTTATTTTCATCTTTATATAACCACACTGAAATAAAATGTATATATATTCAGTCCCACAATATCAGTAACGACCTTAACATTCTAATTTGAGAAGGTTAAGTAACAACTTAAGATCTAGTCTAAACCAATTTATCTGCAGCACACAAACTGATAACACAAAGCCCAATTTTTATACATTAGAGATAGACTGATAATTGGTTTGAACAATATTTTTTGAACAGACATTTACACATTTAAGTTTGGTCGACCAAAATGACACCAATCAGCAGTACTGGGTAGTTACATGTAATCTGGATCACGTAATCAGATTCCAAATATTGAGTACTTGTAATTAGATTATATTTAGGGATGCTCCGATCCGCCTTTTTTGCCTCTGATACCGATTCCGATACCTAGGGTTCGGTATTGGCCGATACCGATTCCGATCCGATACCAGTGACGTTGTTTTCCCTCATTTAAATAAATGTAGAATTTATATATCTCTGTGTGTGGAACTGATAATCATTCTTTCACAATCTACTAGATACAGACTACTTCATTATAAAGAAAAATAAAATAAACAAATATGAAAAAATATAGGCCTATGTATATTTATAATCTATCACAAATATTTAACATAAACTAGGTTAGTGGATAATTCGGCAGCAAAAGTTATTCTAGAAAAATCAGTGCACAATAATTTTAGAAATTCAAACATTTAGTGAAAAAATATTTTGTGGGGAACAAATAAAAGTGTTGCACTAAATATGGTAAAATGTTACACATTGCTATTTGTATTATTATAAAATCCATTCATTAAAAACATTCATGAATGTATTTATATATAAGTATATACTATAAAATTAAAATACATTTCTTTTAAATGTATAG